GAGAAATGGCAAAGCAACCTGGGAATGCTGACTGCCTGGGGGCCAAATGGGAGTGGGGAGACAGAGAGGTCTGGCCACAGGGGCTCTGATGGGCAGAGGGGGATCCAGAGCCAGCTTCTTACTGTACTGAGGGAACCACACACTCTTGGCTCACAATTCATTGAGGGTTATTTCAAGTTTCACTCCCTATAATTTAGGGAGACCATGGTTTTGGATGCTCTTTCTGTGTTAAAATAGAAACTGCTCTGGCAGTTCTTCCTCTCCTAACTAGCACTTGGGAAGAGCAGAAAGGTCACCTGAAGCGATGGTCTGCCTTGAGAACATCCATCACTGAGCCAGTTGGTGGGGTCAGCATCTTGTCCACGCTAAACAGGGTCCCAAACCTTCCCCTCTTGTCATGGGCAGCAATGCAGGCATTTTCGATGCAAAGGTTCTGCAGACACAATGACAGGGGGAAAAAAACCCACATTATTAGCATTTGCTTCCAAAGAGGGAGTTTTTGTACTTCCCATGATGCTCATTTACACTTTTTATGTGGCAGCTGTAAGATCAGAACACCCCTCAGCACTCAGGCACACAGAGCACACACACTGGGAGCACTCACATTGCGATACACAAACACCCTCAGCTCCTTGTCCCCCAGAGTCTGCAGCTTCTGTCCATGGTACAGGTACTTAGAGGAGAGCTGGTCTTTAACAATGTGGTTCAGAAGCAAGTTCCTCATGTTGCTGTCGATAACTGGGAGTCCATCTGCAGCAAAGGGTATGGAAAGAACCAGTGATTCACTTAAAATTACCACTGAGACACCAAAAAAACACTCAAATACAGAGTATTACCCACATCAGTTTTAAATTGTAAAGCTAGAGGCCGCTGCCTGTGGCTGAGGCATTTGGGAGAGGCTTTGCACCCTTGTGCACTGAAACTTGGCTGAAGACTGTTTGAAGGAGGTCTGTGGCCCAAACTGATGGAAGAAAGGGATTTAATCCCTGGCTTACCTTTGAACACATCGTTCACTGGGGCAAGGAGGGTCACTCGCTCACTGCCAGTTAGATGAGAACTGAGACCAGCTTGTCTGAAAAACTCTGTCGACTTGGAAACCTCAGATTCTTGTGCCAACTCAAACAGAGTCTTAGCTGAAAAGAAAAGCAACACATAGCAACCTGGCATTGAGGGCAATCCGCCCTCTAAACCCAGGATTTCCTTGGCAGAAGAGACAAAAGAAAAGCAGCGGGAAGAGGGATGCAGAGAGGCCCCAGTACCTGAGTCTGGGATCAGCAGCTCGTTGACGAAGTGCACGACGCCGTTGGTTGCCAGGATGTCCTTGTTGGCAATGATGGGCTTCCCGTTGAGGGTCAGCTCCTCCCCACTGCAGCCCACGTCCAGGGTGGTGCCTTCCAGGGTCTCCATGGTCAGGCCGGCGATGATGGCCTCAGCACACATGGCTGACTTCAGGATGTGGTGGTTCAGCAGGTCTGTGGGAGAGGGAAGTGTCTCAGTGAGCTGCAAAACTCAGCTGTGGGACTGCAGCTTTGAGGGATCCCGTTCGTGGTGTACAGCATGGGCCTCCACTCCATGAAATGAAGCCACTTTAAAATGTGATATTTTTGTTCAGCAGCCTGTGGAGTCAAGTGCCTAAAAAAAGTAATTTTTAACAACTTTGCCAACTTCAAAAGGCTGCGTGTTGGTATTTGACTCATTTGTCAGGGGAAGTTACACTGATTAGATACTGGTTTTCTTGCATCCTGCTGGGTCAGTAGAAACCACCATCACCAAGGAGTGCTAAAAGAAAACTCAGAAAAGGGACTGCTGCAGCTCCCCCATCCATATCTGGGTGCCACTCTCCCTGCCACGTCCACAACCAAAGAGGTCTGGGCTGTCTGGTCAGAAAAGGTGGAGTCTGTCACATCTATTTACTGCAGCTGTTGTCAGAGTGTATCAAGGAGCTGTTCAGAGGTCCTTGAGAAGGAATTTAGAAGAACTCAAAACCACTCTTCAGGCCTCTCAGTGGACTCAGCAAACAAGCACTCACCCCTCAGGGCTTCTGGGTCCCCCAGGATCCTGTTGAGTGTTTCTCGTGGGATCTTCTCAAAGGCTTCATTGGTTGGAGCCAGGAGTGTGTACTGGCCTTCACTCTCCAGCAGGCTGTTGAGGTCGGATGCAGCCACAGCAGCCTTGGGAGAAACAAGGAGAGAGGGTAAAACACATTCAGACGGAGAACAAAGGTCAGAAGCTTTGTCCAGGCACATACTGAGGGCCAGAAACTTTCTGAGTACTTCAAAATTTCAGAAAAAAAAAAAATCCTGAATAGCTTCTTTCAGCACTTTGGTCTCTTTATAAATTTGACCCAGCCCCATGGTTCTCTCGTGTTCCGGAAATTTGATTACAAGAGCCTTTTTTTTTTTTTTTTTTTCTTTTTTTTTTGGCAAGACTGAGAGCTGGTTCAAATACCCTGATATGCCTGGAAAGGGTCACAGTAATTCCAGGGAATATTTCAGATCAGAACCCCCCAGCTAGCTAACTGAAAATCCCCCGTGCACTTTGAGTTATTCCTTAACTTGACAAATACCAAGGCGAATAAATTGGCGCACATCAAGTTGGGACAGTTAATGTCTCCTAAGGCCAAGACTGAACATCTTCCAGAAGCCCTGGAGCAGCCGTGGGTTGACTCACCCGAAGGGTTTCCAGGCTGTCCTCAGTCTCAATGATCTGCTGGATGGTGTTCGTGGTGGTAGCGATGACCTTGTCGATGACATGAACCACCCCGTTGGTGGCGTGATGGTCGGCTTTGAGCAGCCGGGCACAGTTCACAGTCACAATCTACAGAGGGAAAGAGCCAGGGGGTGTTATGTGCACCGAGACAAGAAGGTAAAGCAGCCCCTTGTGCTTCTGCATTTCCATTTCAAGCACAGCGAGTACTTTAATACCGAATCAGCAAGGGCAGAAATGTGGTTTCCTGAGAAAACACGGAAAGAGCAGGAATGTTCTACCAAGAGTGTTTGAAACATTTCGTGTTAAAAGAGCTCTGAAAATCAGGAGTGGTTTTGTCCACCCCCAATCATCAGGACTGAGAAAATAAGCAAGAACCAACACTTGAGCAAACGGTCCCCTGTGGTCCCTCCTAGGCTGCCCCACTCTGTGACCCTGTGAACGCCTTACCCCGTTGGGGTAGTGGTGAATCTGGATGGGCAGGTTCTGGTACATGGAGCTGAGGGTTGTCCCGTGTTTCAGGTCGTCCGTCAGGACCCGTTTGTCCACCATGTGGTAGCGCAGGGCGTTGAGCAGCTCAATGTTGACGTTGCTGACCAAGGAATCCAGGGTTTCCTGAAAAATCGGGAAAATAAACTTTTCAGTCCTGAGTGCAGTTAGCCAGTGGTCAGAGAGGGCCAGGAGGTCTGGCTGCACCCAGGGTGCTTCCAAAGTGGAGGGTGGAGGGGTGTTTGCATGAAGTGATGCATTCAGCCTTACACCCTCTGTGCAAATTAAGAGCTCAACTTTCACAGATCTTTATCTTTTGCCTTAAAAGTGCAGCTAACAGCTCTGGCACGGGACATAGAGGGGGTTGTACAGTCGTGACTCCCTTGCTCACAGGGATGCTCCACTGGGATGGGAGCACCAGCAGGACAGCAGTGGAAACATCACAAGACACAGAGTGAGAAGATCAGAATGAATGTAAAAGGAAATTTATCTGTAACTGAGCATGGGACACGCTGATGTGGGAGTCACTGAGGCTCCAGTTGGGACTGGCTTTTTGAACAGACTAAGAACAATCAGAGTGGCAAAGTCCACATCTCTCCAGTGCTGGAATCCTTCAAAATCAAATCTCTGGAGCTGCTGGACCAGTAGAGTGATACCCATCTTGGAAATGCAGAGTCCTTCCTCTATCAGGACTGTGCCTGTTCTGCCAGATGGGGCTGGATCCAGACCCCTTACAGAGCTGGGTCCCTGTTACAGAGGGCCAGAGGAAGAGGGGAAAGCAGAGGAATAACATCTTACAGCAGACAGTGATGCCCAGGCCTCGTTGCTGGGAGCAAAAATCGTAAAACTTCCAGGTCCTTCGATTTCTGGCCTCAGGTTGGAGCGGTCGGAGTAGAGCTGTGTGGTGGCAGAACCAACCACCCCCAGGGTCTCATAGATGTTGGAAAGAGGCAGGGCTGAAAGAAGAGAGAGTTATGTTTCCAACACATCATCCCTCCCTCTGGCTGAATTAAAGGACAGCTGCTGGGTAGAACACTCAGGGCAGCGAAGCACATCAGTGACTGGTGTCTGCTCATCAGCGAGACGATAAATAATCACAGCCTGGCAGCTTCACCCTCAGTTCCAGCAGGGTAATCCAGGACCTACTGCATCTCTGCAGGTTTGAATGGACTTGCCCTGCATTTATACAGATGGGATTTGAGGCACACAAAGGTATTGATTGCTTTGACCCAATCCTTGTTTGCATTCAGGCTTCTGGGATTTGGGGTGGGGCACTGCTGGCCCATCTGCACCAGCCCACGTGGCTAACTGGGCAGCATCCAGCTTCTGGGGAGGGAAGTGTTCAGAAGGCAAAAGCAGAATATGGCTTTCTTCAATAAACCCAGTTAACTCCCTCCCATCCCCCAGCTTAATTTTCTCCTAAGTGCAATTTTGCCAACCCCACGCTTGCCAAAATGTCCAAGGCCAGGTTGGACGGGGCTTGGAGCAACCTGGTCTGGTGGAAGGTGTCCCTGCCCATGGCAGTGGGTTTGGAACATGATTATCTTTAAGGCTTCTTTCCAAACCAAACCACTCTAAAATTCTATGAAAATGAAAACTAAAAAGGAGCAGAGATTGGCAGAGATGACTGTTATTCTGTCATTCCTTTGCATTGCATTTCCAGCACAGCTATTTTACTCACTGGAATAAGTAGCTCCCTATGGCCCTCCCATGCTTGATTAAGTTTAATTATATCCAAGGTTCTAAGTTGTCTGGAACATTTAGCAAGCTTTGGAGCTGATCTGGCCGCTGTTCTGAGTCCATTTTGGGTTTGTTCACGGCAATATTGTGCCCAAATTGCAAAAATCAAATCCACTTTGAGCAATTTTCTAACATTTCCCTTTACTAGGCAGCTGTGTAATTTTAAGGAGTCTGAGAAATGTCAAACATATTTTTACCAGCTGGGCAGCCTTTTTCTCCAGGAACCTTTTCATATCCAGGGCAGCACTCGTAGCTGATGACTCTGGAATAAGAGATGGATACAGCAGATTAACCAACAGTGTCTCACCGCTTTTCCTCTGCTTGCTGCAGTTCTGGGGCCAGCCAGATTTTGGGGCTGCTTCCAAGCAGACTCTTCATTAGAAACACAGACTTGAACCAAAGGCAAACCACAGTTTTTATCTCCTCCTGGGCTGCATGTTGCCAATGCCTCCACGGAACAAAAGCAGACACACAATTCCTTTCCAAAACCACACTTTCCAGGAGGCTTTGTACAAACAGTGGATGGAAAGTGATCCCTCGGTGCCAGGAGATAACCTGTGCAAGGCTGCCAGTGCTGGCTCATCTGGGCACGTTTCCCGTGGGATTTGGGGATCTCCTCGGCTCACTGCTGCTGTCACATCTCATCACTGCTTGGGCAACTCCAGCGTGGCTGCTTGACCAAACCAAGCCTTTCCCCCTCATTTCACCCTGTTCTTGTCCACCACCAGAAATGATTTGCTTGCTTATGGCAAAATCCACGGGACAGACCTGGAGGGAAAGGACAGCCCCGGTTTTGGGGTGCGTGAACTTGGCACAAGGGCTTGGGAAAAGCCCTGCAGGGAGAAACTTCACCAGTTGTGGCATCCAAATATGCACTCCAGGGAGTACCACAGCACAATTACAGCCACCTGAGTGCCCTCAGGGCAGCATTTCCTTCTGGCTGGCACCAAAGTGCTGCTCTGACTAAACATTTTCCCCCAGTAAAACCAAAGGGGTCACAGACACCACCCTGGGGACTCAAGGCTTCCTTGCTGATTTGCAGATCCTAAAATGAGGAAGAGCTGCCTGAAAACTGCATCCACCATCTGCAGCTCAACGGGAAACAAAAGCCATCTGATTCTCATAGTTTGAGGGAATATGGCTTGATATTAACAGGGAAAAGAAAAAAAAAAAAAAGAAAAGGGAAAAAAAAAATCAATCCAGAAGTCGCCAGTTTATTTTTCACAGGGGATTCTTTCACCTCTTGCTCCGTGCTTGGTGTGAAAGGAGCAAGGCCACCTGATTGATGGGCTGAGAGAGTGAGGGAATAGGTGTTCCTCCCAAAGACAAGCATTTCCTCTGTGCTCCCAAGTTGGATTTGAGACAAGGAGGATGCTGTATCACCCAGGCTCAGCACACCCGCCCAGAGAGAAAGGAAAACCCTCCGGCCTCAGATATTTGTCATCATTTTAACACTGTTAACAAACAGTGGAAATGCCTGGGGTTTAAGAGGGAATTCTTCAGGGTAATTAAGAGCCAGAAAGTGAAACAAATACCTGCTTTGCTGTGACAGAAGCAAATAAATTCTGTGTCACGGTTTCCTAAGAGAATTACAAAGCAAACCCAGACTGATTGTCTAGACATTATATATTCCATGTGGGAAAGAGCCTGCCTAAAGCAATCCCTTCCTTTGACTACTGGAGATCTTAACACCCTGCTGCTCTGCTTTCCCCAGCCCCCCTGTCTCGTGTTCATTGGAAACACACACTTTCTCCCCCCACCACTTCCCTCCCCTACCTCCAATTTTTCTTTATTTCACCCTAGAAACTAAATCCAGTCTAGACAGTTCCCTTGGTTCAGGCCTGTAATCAAAGATGAGGAGCTGATTAAAGAGAAATCATTCCAAAGTTCAGCATAAATAACTCCCAAGTGCTGACATGTGTTTTAAAAGCCTTATTTATAGAGCAATTGGAGATTAATGAGCTGCACTGAAGGGGCAGGATGTTGCTGCACAGCAGCTCAGGGCTGCCCCAGCCCCCAGGCTCCTGCCAGGAGGGGAGGGCACTGGGAAGGGATGGAGGGAGCTGGTCTAGTGGAAGGCATCCCTGCCCATGGCAAGGGGATGGTGGGTCAGGTCCCAAACCCTGCCCAAACCCTTCTGTGATTCTGTGACTGCTTTTCAGTGGGTTTGTGGCACCTCCAGCACTCTTGCCCACTGAAGGTGACCCTCAGCATCAGCTCCAGCATGTCCTGCCACCATCCTGAGCACCAGAAAACTGCTGCAAAGGGCCAGGGGACCATGGAGGTGCTCAGCCAAGGGATGGCAGCTGCAAGGAGCCAGAGGTGAGGGTTGTAAAACACAGCTTCAGGAATTTGGCCTCCCGTGGCCCGTGGACTCGGTGGGAGCACAAGCCCACCCAGCCCACCCGAAGGCATCGCTCCAGGGGTCACTGGGGTGGGCACAGGGCACCCTCCAGCTGGTGCTGCTGCCACCTCCAGCCCCCAGGGAGGAGCAGCACAGCTGTGGCTGAAGGTGTCTCTGCATCCCAGTGCTGCCTGACCCCACATCCCCGTGGGACAAAGGCTGCCTTTCTTGCTCATCCTCCTCCAGCTGGATCAGAGCCACTCTCTGCTGCCCAGGGAGGAGCAGTTCTCCTCAACACCAGCCCCACGCAGTGATTTCTGCACAAAAGCCTTTGGAATTGCCTAGTCCATCCCAGTTTCTGGTGTCTGCTCAGTGGCTACAAACCACTACACCGGGACCTAGCTGTGGGTTCATCAGCCCTGCCCTCACACAAAGAGCAGTTGTCACCTGCCCTGCAGCACTTCTGACCACGATTTCCTGACCTCCTCCTTGAGTAACTCCAAGTCAAATCTGCAGATTTTTCAGCCTCTGGTTTTGGGACACCGCATTTCTGAACTGTCTACCTGTGTCTGCCTGCAGAAGCAAGCTCCCTGGTTTTTTATTAGTCATTCTTTCACTGCTCTTGCATTCTTAGGAGCTGAAGTTGAAATTTTTGAGTGCATTTTTCAAGGTAATAAAAATAAGCTGAGGCATATATTAGTGAATAAAGATCCATTCATAATAATTTCCTGTAATAAAGCCCATATGTTTTGTTTTTGTAAAAGAAGTGCCAAAGAGTAATTTTTTTCTTGAAATGAGGAAAGTGCATCGGACATGAAAAGGAAAGTTAATTTTAAAGGGAAAAAAAAAAGAAAGGAACTTATTAATGGTTTATTCCTCAAAAAATAATCAAACCCAAAATTTATAAGTTGTCTTTTCATTCTCAAGACAAAAAAGTGCGTGGGGATGTGTTCCAGTGCAAGCCCACTTCTGTAAGAACGAGTCCAGTGCATAAGAGAGGTACAAAAATATAAAACACACAGGCATAAAGATGAGAATATACTCTAAATAAACTGTTTCTTTGAGTTTGGAATCACCAGCAGTGGAAAATTACCTAATTACCAAAACAATCTTGTTTCAGTGCTCATTAAAATCAAAGCAGTGTCAGATTTCTTGCCAACTGTCTTGTCTCACTTCATCAGCAGTGATAAAACCTGTACATAAATCCTCTATCTAATTTCTCCTTAACTGTGTGAGCCAACACTTCAGCAAAGAGGAGAAAAACAAAGAGAAAAAGGAAAAAAAAAAAAGAAAAGGCAGATAAAGAGGTAGGAGTCTTCTTCTGATGCATGAGTTGAGATTTCCAGCACTCCACCCCCGTGGAGCTTTGATTCTCAGCAGTACCTGGTCCCTCACTGACCTCCCTCCCCACTACCTGTTTGAAACAGTGCTCAGAGAAGGGAAAGAAAAGAAAGCAAAGCAGCCAAAACAACCTTCCTAGAGCCAGGTCTTTTTGCACCTGCTGCACACACAGAACTTGCGGCACCACTGACCCTCTGAGCAAACAGGGAGGACAACAGCCAGGTCAGATGGGAAGCTGGTGAGATGGGCCAGGTGTCTCCTACCCCAGGACTGCTGTCCTCACAGGTGGGAAAAACCTTTTAGGAAGAGGAGGAGGAGAGAAATGGCCGCACTTATCCAGCTCCACCACCTCCCCAGGGCTGATGGAGCAGATCCCTCTGCCCAACAGGAGGACCAAGCACGAGCTGCTGACTGCGGATCTCCAGCAAAGGCTGGATCCACCCAGTTATGCTGGCAAACATGCCAAACCCTGACTTTTCCTGGGATTTGAAGGCATGTGGTATTCCCCAGACCTCTCATGGACCAGCTCAGTCCTACACAGTGGGCCTGTTTCGAGGGTTCGTGCCAGACAGCATCAGCTGTGCCCACCTACTCTGGTGGGGGCTGAGGCCCTGAGCATGAGGGCCCTGACCCTGGTGCAGGATTTGGAGTGCTGCAGCAGCATGCACCATGTCCTTTACAGCCCAAAAGACTCCTGATTGCTTCCATACGCCAGGCTCACCACGTCCAGCGGGAGCCATCACCAGCAAACTTGTGTAATCAGAGCCATCCCAGGGTCCTCTGGAAAGTCTGAGTCAAGGCACGTGTCTTTTGTTCTGCACCAGCACTGCTGAAGGGAAAAGCAGGGCCCAGGCTCAAGAATGACCAGGAGGAGAGAAGACAATAACACCCATTGTGGAGATGATGCAAAGCAAGGAGTAGTGAGAGGATTCTGTGGGTAGTGGAAAGATTATCTCACAGGTTAACAGGCAGGTTAATGCTCCGTGTGCTTTTCTCTCAGTGATGCATCACTCGGGTAAAAGCAGAGAAAAGGAGGCAGGAGAGGTTACCCCACCTCCTCACATGCAATCATAAAATGCTGCCAGATGCCAGTGGTTTCATCTCCTTCTGGAGATAAGTGGACGAGCTTGTTCTCTGCCAAGCACAGCTGCACACTTGGGCTACACGAGATTAGTTTCTCATTTGCTCTAGAGCTGAAGAAATCCGTGGCTGGAGCGCTTTGCCCATCAGTGCTGAGAGCAGCAAAGCTGGCCCACATCCACAGCTGAGCCATGTTTTCTTTGGAGACAGGCTAGGCTACTCTGTTATCAGGAGAGGCAGTGATGATACCACATTGCCATGCCACGACCTTATCCATTTTCTGTCAAAAAAAGCGCCATCGTTCAGCCAAGGTGACAGCCTGAACTCTGAGCACCCAAGTTAAGCCTTCCCAGCTTTGCTGAGTTTGGAGAATCAAGGGGAAGGGGATCTTACAATTTTGCCTCTCTATTTTGTTCTCTTTTTTCTGCTGTAAAGACAATTGGGCACAAGGCAAGCCACGATACATGGTACATCCAGCAGTGCATCCTCCTGAAGTACAGAATTTTCCCTTTCAGGAAAGTAAAATGAAAGGCCAAAAGCTCTGAACAGTGACAAGTCCTGGTTTGGAGGCATCTGAAATGAATCTCAATGAATCCCAGGCATCACAGCTAAACTGATGATGGCAACCAAAATCTGCAGTAAAGAATAACATGTTCCTGTAGGTCTAATTGCAATTTACACTGGACCACAACGGAAACACATGAGATGATTTTCTGCTGTCTGTTCTTGACCCTGCAGATGCAGGACCAGACGTGGCCCACAGCTCTGATCCCCAAGGCCAGGGCTGCTCAGGGCATCTCTGCACCAGTCCTGGGTGTTGTGGTGGTCCCTGCTGGAGTATCAATCAGCAAATATATCTCAAAGCCCACTTTGGACTATAGCAAGGAAAAAGACTCTCAGCTCCTGCTCTCCAGCCTGGCAGACAGTCAAGCATGCATAGCCTTAATTATCTGCTGACTGCATCTTTCAAAAGAATGTCCCGAGGCTGCTTACACAGATCCTTTATGCAACAGCTACTTGAATATTATTGTTTGCAATTTTAGACGTGGAATTGGCCTGCGAGTCTGATTAACTTTCCTGGTGGAGTCATCAGAGAGTGCTGGCTAAAGCTGACACTTCTTACCCCTTATTTCTGTTTTCCCTTCCAAAGCAAACAGATGGAGATGAATTTTACGCTCTCTCCAATATCCATCAGCTCTGGGTTGCGTTTTTTTTTTCCTCCTTTTTTTATTTGTTAAATCTAGGCAGCACCGAGCCTAGCATGGAGAGGGACAGGGCTAAGTACTAGAAAACATCTGCTACACACTTCATTACAGCACTGAGAGCTATAGAAATATATATAGAAATGCAATTAGAACAGACCATCAGGGTTTGTATTTACACGGTACTTTCCATTCTCAACATCAAAGTGTTTTAGGATCCCTTGGAGAAAAACAGAAATACTTCTTAGGCAGCAAAAAGCTGAACCACGTTTCTTACCACGTGAAACCCACCCCACGGGCCGTGACGCCCCACACCAGCTGCTCCCCCCACCCCAGCACCCACCTCCACGGGATCTTTGGGTACTTACGTCGACTTCCCACAGATCTTCCTCTGGTACCACTGCTTGCAGTTGGTGAAGTATTTCCTGTTGGTGCCGATCAGCTTCTGCACCGCGCACACATTGGGGCTGCAGAGGGGGGGACAGAGCACAGGGTGGGCCTGTGAGCCTCCCTCCTGTCAGTGCTGACCCCCAGCACGGAGCCAGCCCCACCCGACAGCGCCCAAAAAGCCCGGGGTTGCGAGGCAGGAAAGTTTGAGAGCTGCAAGTCAACCTGATTCGAGCATGTAATGACCATCATGAAGTGGAGGAGGAAGGAAAAGAGATCTCTCCTCACTCTGTCACAGCATCTTTGTCTTCACTGAGTGCAAATTCTTGACGTTTTTTTCCCCCCACGTTCCATCTCTCACCAAAATATAAAGTTAAAAGTATTTCCACAGTGAACAGCTACCTTCCAGCTAAAACCTGAGCAAGTTATGCACTAATTCAAATATTTCCAAAAGAAACCATTAGTTTAGCATTCAGAACATAAAAAAGGACAGATATTTAACTGCCTACAGATTTGCACCAGAACCAGAATGGGTTCTTGAGCTGTGTGAGAGACTCAGCAGATTCTGGCCAAGGATGCTGAGCTGAATGAGGGGAAAATGAGCAGTGCCCTCCCCTGTTTCTACACACCAGGTATGACAGCACAGCTCAAGAGTGGCTGTATCAGCCCAGGAGGTCCCAAGAGCTCCTGCTGACCCAGAAAAGCTGATGGTTGGTGTTACACGTGTGACTAACCCCGCTGAGAGCTGACTGCAGCCTTTCAGCTTTCTAAGAAGTGGTATCACTGCGAGCAAAGATGTGGTCAAGCAGGAGCTGGGAGTTTCCTTGCTGCTGGTTTGGCCAGCACAGCATTTCCCTGCTCTGCCTGGCTCACCATCTCTGAGGTTTGTGGCCAGCAGCCCTGGCCACTGGGCAACACACATCAGAGAGTAAGATGTGATTTATGGATCTGGGTTGCAAGGCCATCGGTGCTCTTTGGGTTTGAGCAGAGGTGCAGCAGACACCCAAGCAAGCTGAGCCCAACTAAGGCTGGATTTCCTGCCATGTTCCCACCAACACCATGTCCCAGTTGGAGCAGCAGCACCAAAAGTACGTGCAGCACTGGCTGCCAAGCTGACAGAGGGAAAACAAATAATTAGGCGAAACACATAAATCATCCGCTCAGCACGTCAGAAATGCTCTGTGCCACCCGAGGCAGAGTTTTCACTTGCACAAATGAAACTCAGGATGGGGCCTGGAGATGCTCTTGTGAAGGCCTTGTTGATGTGCTCAGGAGCACAGACAGCAGCCTGTCTCACGCTGAGCGTGGCCGAGGCGCTGCCCCTTGCCCCCCAAAAATAACAAAGGCAGAGTTTGCAGCCCGAGCACCGAGTCCTCCAGCGGCCCTGCTCGCTTTTCCCCAGCATCCCAGCCTGCCCATCATTAGCATGAATTAACCTGAGGGTCTCCCCTGTGCTGGCTGACTGCAGTGCCAGCCCCTGCGGGAGCCTGGCCTGCCTTCAATGAGCCTTTGTTGGTGCGGCCGCCGCGGGTCCTGCCCGGGCAGATCCGACCCCGAACAGCCCTGGCACCTCTGTCCTGCCCCGAGGGCACACAGAGGGCCTGGGGGACCTGGGGGGGGACTCATCTCATCCTTGCCCTCCTTACTGCCATGCCCAGCAGTGGGAGTTTTGTTTCCACATTTGAAAGCATTTCATTCCCTTTCAGCGTATGAAGCAGGGGGGCAAGGAGCAAGAATCTATTGAGGCAAAACAAAAAAAAAAAAAATTAGAAATCACAAAGCCAAACTTTCAGCTGGTGCAAACTGGCCCAGGCTCAGCAGCTTCCACACCAGATCATCGCTTAGAGGGACGTCTGTGCTCTGACTCAGCCCACCTTGGCCACCCAGCCCTGCCGGGCTGAAATGTGGTTCCAATTACATGGAAATTCCAAACCTTGCCTCGATTTCAGCGTCTGGCTGACGGCAGTGGACAATCCCTCTAATATTCATCTTGACAAGCCTGGCTACTGAAGGACTTGTTTGATCACTTCCCCTGTATCCCCAGGAGCTGCCTGCCAAGAAAACCCTTGTGCCTCCAGGACAGCGCTGAACCGCCTCGCTCCCTCCTCCCTGCCTGGGACTGCAGCTCCGTGGGGCTGCTGCTCCCTCCCTGACTTATGGGGGAAAACTTCTTCCCAGTTTTAACTCAGTGTGGAAAAAATCCCCCCTCAGGGCCGTGCTATCAATGATTCCTGCAGGCAGGCTGTAGTAGCGGCTCCCTGCGTTGCATGTTCTGGTGCTTTGCCCAGTCTGGCTTCAAATGAATTTGTCAACACTCTTCCCTCTCCTCGTTGGAGTTCATCACCTCTGCCATGCCGTTCCCAGCCAGCCACGCTGACTCCAGGATAAAACTGCCTATTGTTCCCCTTCAGCCAAAGCCTTCCACTTGGCAGCAGCAGCAGCTGGGAGCTGCTGGGACAGGGGCTGCCCCTGGGAAGAGGCTGAGAAGAGCAGGACTCGATACTCCCCCAGCTACCTGCAACGACTGTGGCCATGAACATCCCCAGCATCCTGCAGTGCCCACGAGGCTGGGTGGGTTTGGGGAGAGCGCTCCCACATTTCCACCTTCACGTGCTAGCATTCCTTATGTACTTTTCAGCTCCTCTCGCTGACTTGAGCTGGCTCACTTTTTAAAAAGTTAATTAAGACGTACAAGTTCCTGCTGTAGGGCCAAGCTCTGCCTCCCAGCTCGCTCTGGGCTCAATAGGGGCATTGATGGTGTGGGGGGGGGACGCTCACAGCAAAGGGTGGCAGTCCTGGTTGCACATCCCTCCAGAGCTCCCTCCTGCAAGCAACACAGCGTGCCTCACATCCAAGATGTTTTGGGCTGGTTTTGTGCTGCTGTATCTCCTTGGCACATCGTCGATCAATGCTCAAAATCCAGCCCATGTTCAAAAATTAGCTTGGTGTAAATCACCCTCTCCATCAGAATAAGACCGGTGAGCAAAGTGCTGTGGCCAGCTGGGTTTATCTCAGTAACAGATGGAAATCCTGGCACACCAATTCCCTGTGTCTTCCAAAGATCTCCGGCACCAGCACGGACCTCAATCACATCTTACCCTGTGCCTCTGTTAATTGTCCAGGGAGGAACACAACAAGCTCCTCTCTGCAGAGATGAGTGCACTGATTTATACCAGGACTGCCCTAACTCAGCCAGCCTGAGCAAACCTTGGGCTCAGGGCTATCAGCACAACTGGGTATTTGCTTAGTTTCAAGCCACATAGAGATAATGAACAAGACTCACTTTATATGTACAATAAATCACTGTAATTCTGGCTTTATTGAGCTATTACAAATTACATCAGCTCAGAATTTGGCTGTTGGACTGTGTACCTGATCAGACACAAACAACACCTCCTTTGTCATAAATTCTGACCTGGATCCCTGCCAGAGAGTGTATCAAATTGCAACATTTAAGCCTCGTTTGTTTTTTTTTCGTTTAAAGCATTTCATGACCCTGCTTCCAGCAACCCATTTAAACTGAAGCTTCAGCTCAATCACTGTCACCATGACGAGAGATGGAAGCCAGCTGAAAGGTCTGTCATCCTTTCACCCTTCCTAATTCCCCAAAAAATTTAAAAACTGGTGGGAACAACTATTAACATTGGGTTAGTTTTCTGCCTATCAATGAAGACTCAAACTACTCACTCCATGAAATACTGTGTATCCAGCAAAGACAGGTCTACATGCATTTTTCAACAGGCCTTATCTTGTACTATTTATGAGTAAAGAAGTGATTTTATTTGTCAAGGAAACTTTCAAGACTGACTGGGGTTTCCTGTGAAAGAGGGAGCTGGTGCTGACTTCACAGACATATCAAAGCAATTTTCTTTCTTTTTCTATAAATTCACAGCAACAAGGATTCCTTCCACAAAACGTTTGATGGTGCGAAATCCAGGGATTTTTATAGCACTTTTCCCCTAACGAGGATCAACTGATAAAGAAGCATTGAAGAGTCTGAAGTGACATCTGCCATGCCAAGCATCGTGATAGAAAAGAGGGGGGAAGGTTATCGGAGGGAGTAAAGTTACGGGAAGAAGAATGAAAAAAGTTACTGGAGGATGAGGGAGAAAGAGAAAGCGATGAAAGAAGGGGTTCCCCGAGGGAAAGCAGCGGCTCCCCGAGGGAAAGCAGCGGCTCCCCGGCTCGGCACCGCCTCCGCTCCCGCACAAAGACCCCGCGGCGGAGCCCGCACCGAGCGCATCCCCCGCGGCGCGGCCGCTCCCGCCGAGATTTGGGAAAAGAAAAGAAATTAAAGAAAGGTGTTTCCCCCCTTTCCCTCCCCGCTTACCCGTGCTGGCGGCCGCGGAGCCGGCTGTGCTGCAGGACCTGCTGGTACGGGGACTTGGCGGCGGCGGCGAGGCCGAGCGCCAGCAGCAGCAGCGGCACCCGCGCCATGGCCGGGCCGGGCCGGGGATGGGATGGGATGGAATGGGATGGGCCGGGACGGGACGGGACGGGGATGGGGCAGCACGGCCCGTTAAATGCGGCGGCGGAGCGGGGGCGGGAGCGGGAGCGGCCCCGCGGGGGGAGCGGAGCCGCCCGGCCCGGCCCGGCCCGGCCCGGCGGGAGGGGAGGGAGGGAGGGAGGGGAGAGGGAGGGGAGAGGGGCCGCCCCCCGGGGAGGGCATCCATCCGTCCCTCCGTCCGCACACCCGCCCCTCCATCCCTCCTTCTGTACGTCCGTGCCCCGCAGCCCTGCCCCTGTATCCCCCCAGAGGTGTCCTGTATCCCCCAAGGGGTGTCCTCTATCCCCCTTCCCAGGCTAGCGTTTCATCCTCAGTTTCTTCTTCATCCTCAATTTTTTCTTCGTCCGGACTTTTTTTCTTCCGTCCTCCTCCCGGTCGGGACTCAGAACTCCGGGTGTCCCACCGGCCCCTCCCTGATCCCCCGCCCCGGGGGCTCCGCACAGCCAGCCCTGCCCAGCCCAGCCCATCCCTGCCCTGCCCAGCCCTGCCCATCCCTGCCCAGCCCATCCCTGCCCATCCCATCCCTGCCCATCCCAGCCCTGCCCATCCCATCCCTGCCCATCCGTGCCCGCAGCCGGGGGGGATGTCACCCTGCACTGCTTCCCCGGGCACCCCCAGAGCCTGCTGCTCTCATCCCCCTCCCAGCCGCTCCCAGCACTGCCAGGGGTCACCCCTGGCCAGAGGTTGCTTGTTGCTTTAAAACCCAACAACGACAGCAGGAGCTCTTAGGCTTGAGAGGGTGTTCAGTCTGGAGAAGGGAAGTCTCTGGGGAGACCTTAAATCCCCTTCCAGTACCTAAGGGAGGGGGGGGGGTATAAAAAGGAAAGAGAAAAACGTTTTACATGGGCTGATAGTGTGAGGACAAAGGAGAAAGGTTTTAAACTAAAAGAGATTTATATAGAATAATAGGAAGAAATTCTTCCCTGTAAGGGTGGGGAGGCCCTGGCAGAGATTGCCCAGAGAAGCTGTGGCTGCCCCATCCCTGGAAATGTCCAAGGCCAGGTTGGACGGGCCTTGGAGCAACCTGAGATAGTGGAAGGTGTCCTTGCCATAGAACTGGATGGGCTTTAAGGTCCCTTCCAACCCAAACCTTTCTGTAATTCTCTGACTCACCACAGCATCCCAGAGTTTGTAAAGGATTTGCTCCGATTGGACTGACATCAAAGCTGAAGGGCTCTTTCCTCCCTAAATCCTCCTGGGAAGCAGAAGGGGTCCTTTGGGGCCTCTTGCCCTCAGGGACAGACCTCTGCAAATCCCTCCTGCAGCTCTGCAGGCTGGGCAGGGGCCAGCAAGGGCAGCTGCTCAGCAAGGGATGGGAATTGAAACATATCCAACAAGCAGACACCGAGCCAAACAGAAGAAGTCTTTAGCAATAATAAACACTTTGAGTTTACAAAGATTCCCTCCTCCCCACCCGTAAATAAATCTGATCTGTGTAAACAACATTAATGCTTATTGGATAAAATGCACGACACCATTCCTCTCCCGAGGGAGTGTTTCATTACTGACTCCTTCTGAGGAGGTAAATCATTAAATCTTACCTGCAGAGGATCATGCCTCTAGCCTAAGAGACAAGAAACAGAGGTTTTGAGTGTTCCTGAGGAAAAGGTGAGGTTCTAAACCCTCTCAGGTATTGTCTAACCCAAGCCTTTCTCAGCTACACCTCTATAAAGTGGAAGCACTTTACGAACCCCCAGTGCTCTGTTTAAAAGGGAGGAGTGATCTGCACTCTGCCCAGAAAGGGGTGCCTTGGTTCCCTGGCTCTGGGCAAAGATTAGGGCTGTGAAGCCTGATCTGATGGCTGTGCCTTTTTCCAGGCCAGAGTCAGACCCCTTGATCTAACTCCTCCTCCACCAGCCATCATGATTCTTTTGCCAGAGGAAGGCTTAAAAAATGGAACAAAAAGAGGAGGGAGATCAAGCAAAGGTACTGCCAGCTGCTGAGTCCTCTGAAAACAGCAGCCAGTTCTAATCTGTCTGTGAAGAAGAACAGTGAAGATCCCACGTGGTGGCAGGGCCAAGCAGCTGGACATAGGCTCCTGCCTTGTCTCCACGTGCCAGATGCCATTTTGGGAATGGCAAGGTGCCTTTCATTCACACAGCTGGTTGATTGATGTGCAAGCTTCTCCCTGGACAGCCCCAGGGAGCAGGAACCCCAGATCATCAAAAGAGCATCTTCCCTCAGGAGCTCAGGGCCTCCTGTCCTGGGAAGTGCTCCCCAGGATCACCGTGTTCCCATCACAGTCTTACAAAAGGAGGGTTGACGTCCTCGAGGCACCAAACCTCACACTGAGTCCTCCAGAAGTTTGTTGAACCCAAAAGTGCTGGAAATGAAGTGGACGAAGTTCTTTGCCAGTGGAGTGTTTCCCTGGAGACTGAGCAGACAGGGAGTGAGGAGGGACATCCAGCTGTGGAGAGGGATGGGGCAGCCCCACTGCCATCCTGTGCCCGGCATTGACACGTGTCCTGGGTCCCCTCAGTGACATGCAGGCAAATTCACTGGTTTTATCTGCCACTGCTGCTTTACTTCCTTCCCATCCCATCCCTCCCTCCTGCTCCTGCTGCCTCCTGGTTCTCCTCCAGTGCCTCTTAATTCATTATTCCTCTCCAGCAGGACTTTCTGTCCTGCCTAAGCCTTCAATTAATGCTTCTGTGAATCTGTTTGAGAGCAGTTCAAGTGTTGCAGAGGAATATTCAAATGCACTTGGCCATCAGACTGTGACAGACCTATTTGTGAGGAACCGCTGCTTCGGGTTTGCACTTGTTTTAACCTCTGCTCCCAGACGGATGTTTGGTTTGAGATGGAATCCACGGGCAGTGGACTCTGCACACTCACACGAATACTCCAAAATCAACCACGTAGAAAATTGCACTCACACAAAACAGACCCCTCCTCTGCGCATTTCAGACGCAGCAGCTGCTCCACCGAAAGGGAGGAATCGCAAGACACACCTCAAGGCAAACGAAGAGATCCTCAGCAATAATAAACATTTATTACTGAAAAAGTTTTTCCTGTATAAACAAAACCGAAGGCTGAAATCACAGAATCATTAAGACCATAAATATTTTTCGCTTTGCTCTGTGAGCTGCACAGAAAGGCCAGGAGGAGAGCTACTGGAGGAAAAAAAAAATACCACCTTTCCAACTCTTCAGTAATAGTTTTAGGGGGAATAATCAACAGCATAAAATAAAAAGTCAGTTCTTTTGTATTTGTCTGCCATCTTAAATTTCTACTATCCTCATAGTATAAGCTATAATATATATAAGCTATAATTCCCCAAATAAAGTTATAGTGGTGTTTGGTAAAACCCACATTCCTGCAACAGGCTGAAAACCCATTTTATTCTGAGCTGCAGTTAATGGGGATTTCAGGTTGGATTTTTTTTTTTTTCCCTGGAGTAACCTCTGCTCTCATTTTCACTGACTAAGAAAAACCATTGGAAATGAGCATCTTCATTGTTCTTTTTTTCTCCAACTTAGCAGAATTTATTCAGAAGAATAAATAAGCGATCCTTTGTTCACTTTAGACCCGGGTGTTTATGAAATGCCCGGCGATAGGATTGGTGCAGTGGCTGGAGACACAGTCCTGAGTGGGACACACCAGGACTGGAGCAGCCCCAGCCCAAATGTGGCTGAAGCAAACAGCAAATGGTGCAGATAGATGGAATCAGAGCATCACAGAATATTCCCTGGTGACAGCAGTGCTGACAGCCCGGCTGGGGTTGGGAGCTCAGCAGAGGAGCCAGTTATCTGCTGGGAAATGACTTTAACCACGAGCCTGCCCATATATTGCTATGAAATACATCCCATCTCATCCCACACACTCACTTTGCTCCCTGCTTTCGCTATCTGTTCTAACATCAGGGGAATACATTTCCCTTCTGCGTCTTTTCAGGTCTTTTTGGAACAACTTCTTCACCCCAAATGCTCCCGCACTTGCCTTCTGGGTCTGCTTTTCCCTGTCCAATGTGTTAACAATGCGGCAGATACTCCTTCACGCCACACCCCTGCCTTCACACATCAGCCTTGTGAAAGGATCCCGATAAAGATCACATAATCCTCTTCGTTTCCCTTTGCAGACAGCTCCATTTGATGTGTCCGGAGCCTGCTGGAAAAGAAAGAGAACTAATCCCTCTTGCCTCCACCACACACGGCGGGAGAATTCGTGGGATTTATGTTCCAGCTCCGCTCGAGTGTCCAAAAGCCCCTCTATGTGTGTAAAGTTATTATTACCTACAATAATATAATCACAAAATAGTAAAATACATGTATTATGTGCAGAAACATGCAGTAACATAACAGGTCGGGTTGGGTGGGCTCTGAGCAACCTGGTCCGGTGGAAGGTGTCAGGGAAGTTGGGATGAGATGATACCAGCCCAGGTTGCTCCAAGCCCTGTCCAGCTTGGCCTTGGACACTTCCAGGGATGGGGCAGCCACAGCTTCTCTGGGCAACCTGTGCCTCAGGGCCACACCAGCCTCACAGGGCAGAATTTCTTCCTAATATCCAACCTAACCCTGCCCTCTGCAAGTTTAAAGCCATTCCCCCCTTGTCCTGTCCCTCCATGCCCTTTTACACTTACTGTTTGTTTGGACTCTCTTTTCTGACTAAACTGGAGTTATCACTGTAGGTCTTGTTAGGTCTGGTGAAATTAATCTCCAGTGAGTGATGCTGAAGTGCCTCCCCACAAACATTCAAGCAGGGTTGCTGCCCTGAGTTATCTCCTGAGCTGGGAAAGGCACCCTCGTCCTGTCCTCAGGGGCCTCGGGGAGCGCTGGCCAAAAAGGCAATTACACACAATATTCTGCTCCCTTTTAATATATCATTGTGATGGGAGAAATATGTGCTTTATCTTCTCTCACATAAACACAACAATTCTCTTACTTCATCGTAGAAGCTTGTAATTATCTTCCCACATTTGATACTTTGAGATAAATC